TTATCAGGCGAGCACTGTGGCTTGTGGTCGCCCTCCTGCAGTACCTGACAGACGACTGAGCAAGGAACATCTTTTTTTCTCTTTTCTTGACTTTGTCTTTGTATGCCTTTTGTATTTTTTTTCTTGTATTCTGTTCTTTTTTTTTCATTTGAGTTTATTTGTATCTCTATTTTTTGTTGGTGTTGCCATTTTCTTCTATTTTCTCTCGGCTTTCTTTCTTTTCTTTTTTTTTTTTTTTTTTTTTTTTTTAGTCTCGTATCCCTTCAGCATCATTCCTTATTCTCCTCTCAGTAAGTTTCATTCCATGATTTTACTTCCTATCATCAATTTTATATCTGAAAAAAAACATCAAATTCGTAAAAAGAAAAAAAAATATAAAAAAATTATTAAATCATTAAAGATCGTTGCACATTCAAGCTTCCCTATCAAGTGATGAACGGATCTGTGATAAAGATACACAGGAGACGAATGTGTTCCTTCTTATCTTGTCTTATCAGGTCGAGCGATTAGCCTATACTCTCACGTGCCTCCTTTGTCTACAGCAACATATGATTCAACATGGCAAGAGGAAATCAACCCTCATTGCAACCTATCGTTATATAAAGCTTGAGCTGGGGATCTGACCTCTGCTAACCTCGATTAACCACTCGTGACGCAGATATTCCTTCAGAGTTCGTTTTTATTTTCTCTCTCTTTTTTTTCTTTTTTTTGAGATATATATATTTATATGTACTTGTGACAGCCAACCTCCCTAATACAGCAACCTTTAATTTTCTCCGGAGTGGCGTTGGCGTATGTCTTCTAAATCACTGAGGCTCATTCGCATTTTTAAATATCTAATATTCACCCGCGTTCACTCTGAACACGTTCCGCGCCACTCGACACTCTTTAATGTTATTCAGAGTTTAAGGCAACGCGTCCAAATACATCCCAAGTTCGTCAGAAAAAAAGTAAAAAAAATACCAGGCACGCCCCCAAACTGTCCAGCTTCGACCACCCAGAATGTTGACCCAACACTCCCAGGAGGCGAGGCACCCTGTTGATACATATACAAAATATACATATCCATGTATCAATAACTAAAGCGACCTATAAAACCTGTATGATTCAGGAATACATAGGAACTCTACAGGAAAACAACCCTTACAGATCCAGCGGCTTATCACAGTGTAGGTCATAGATCATGCCGTTTATCACAGCGTGTCACAGAACAATGCGACGCCTCGACCGCGAAACAAGACCACCTACTCGAGACAAATGGCGAACAAATAACTACATAAAATCTTTTTCATTTCCATAAACTCTGACACAGCGTTGAAGTTGAATACCTTGAGGAAAGTATATATATCTCCGTTTTAGATTCACACAATGATGATATAAGAAAAAAAAGAAAGGAAACATATTCTATAACACTTCCTGTCCTTCTAAGTCACCTTCAAACACGTCTATATTCCTCTAAGTCACGACAGTAGGATAACAGCGAGGTTTTCCATCCGTCATTATCTCGTCCTTTCCTCGAAGTTCCCATCAGATAGTCGATGGACGAGACGGAGACTGATGAACTGGGTAATGCTAGCATTGTCCTAATATATCAAACTTCTAGTATTGAGTAGATAGAGATAGATAGTTATATAGTTAGGTAAATAGATAAAGAAGAGCGAGGCTGAGGCAGAAAGAGACAGGCAGATAGACGGACAGACAAAGAGAGACAGAGACAGACACAGAGACAGGGAAGAGACAAAGAGATCAACTAAGAAACACAGTCCTCAGTGTCTCTTTAAACATATCAAGATGGTCTGCAAAGGAAAGAGCGAACAAAAGGAAGATCGTGTGAAAAATTGCATGTGTTGCATGATAATGACGTTGCGTTGAAACATAAGACTTTGTTCCTTTTTGTGATGCAGCGACTGTGTTGAAGTCAAGGTCGTAACCTTATTTATTGCCCAATAGAGATACTGCAGAAATGCCAATTAAGACTTATGTTTTTTCCTCTGATAAATCCTCTCTCTCTCTCTCTCTCTCTCTCTCTCTCTCTCTCTCTCTCTCTCTCTCTCTCTCTCTCTCTCTCTCTCTCTCTCTCTCTCTCTCTCTCTCTCTCTCTCTCTCTCTCTTTCTCTCTCTCTTTCTACAAGCTATCTATCTGCCTACCTCTATCTCTAGCTGTCTATCTATTTATCTATTTATCTGGCGATGACATTCGTGCAATTTTTATCATATATTCTCTTTATTTATTGTCAACATTCATGAGACAAGACAACAGCAAGTCAAAATCAACTGATAAGCTACTTCCCTCTCACTTGATGTTATTTTTGTCATACGAGCTTGACTTTTTATAGGACAGGTAACTTCATAGAACATAGATATTGCAGTTTGTTTTTATGATATTCCCTTTCATGTTTTTTTGTTTGTTTTTTTTACTTAACAACCCGTTACAGTAATTTTCAGATGTGTATCTATCTTCACGTAGATATAAGACGGTTCTCAAATGATTTAATGGTCCTCTAAGTGATACAGAAAAAAAATAAAGAGAGAATAAAGAACGTGGCACAGACTCAAAACCAGTTCTTGTATATCATAAAAAAACATCTACAAGGGAAGTTCTTGCGCCCTCACTACTAGGCAACCAGAACGAGTCCTACAGTAGAAGTTTTGCAAGTTGAGACCAGTTCTTACCCCTCTAATAAACTAAGCACTCAACCAAGACCAGTTCTCTATCAGAACTCTTGCAAGCTGTAACTGGACACTAGTTCTTGAAGTTACCGTCTCCACTCCCCTCTCCCTTTTTCTCTATTTCGTGTTCTCCATTTCTCTCACTTTCGTCGTCTCCCTTTCTCCCTCTTTCGCCCTCTCCCCCTCTCCCTCTTTCGCTCTCTCTACCTCTTCTTCTTTCGCCCTCTCCCCCTCTCCCTCTTTCGCTCTCTCTACCTCTTCTTCTTTCGCCCTCTCACCTTCTCTCTTTTTCGTCCTCTCCCTTTCTCCCTCTTTCGCTCTCTCTACATCTCCCTTTTTTCGCCCTCTCTTCTTTCGTTCTCTCTCACCTCTTCCTCTTTCTCTGTCTCACCTCTCCCCTCTACCCGTCCTGCCTCCTGTGCCCAAACTAATACCAGTTCCTTTTGCTAACTCCTTCCCCCCTCCCTCCCTCCCTCCCTCCCTCCCTCCCTCCCTCCCTCCCTCCCTCCCTCCCTCCCTCCCTCTCCACTCCCCTCCCCTCATCTTACCCGTACCCCCCCCCTCGATTTACTCTCCACTCCCCGACTCCCTCTCTCCACCCTTTACCCTCTCTCCTCTCCCATTTCTTTCCCTTCCCTCCATTCCCCTCTTCCGTCTACTACCTCTTACTTCCTTCCCCGTCAACTCTCCTACCTCCTTTCCCCCATTCCCCACCCACCCCTCCCTCCCCCTGCCCCCCTTGCTTTTGCTCCATCCCTCAGCCCTCCCCTCCCCCCCACTCCCTCACCACCCCACTCCCTCCAACCATCCCCCCCCCACCTCTTCTACCCTCCCAACCCCCTTATAACAACCCCCATCCCCCCTTTGCCCCTTCCCCCCCCGACATCCCCTCAACCCAACCCCACCCCCACTTGCCCCTTCCCCCCCACCCCCCTCCCCCCACACCGAATTCCATGCCAGGACGCCCCGAGTTCAGCGACCTTCCCTCGCGCGCGCCTCCTGTGGTACGGCGACCCAAGATGGCGCAGGTGGGGAGGGGGGAGGGAGGAGGGGGGTTGGCGGGTGATGGGGTGTGGGGGGGAGAGAGGAAGAGATGAGGAGGGAAAGGGAAGGGAAAGGAAGGGAAGGGAAAGGAAAAGAAGGGAAGAGGAGGGAGATGAGAGGGAAGGAAGGAAGGGGTAAGGAAAGGAAGGAAGGATGAGGAAAGAAGGACAGGAGATGGAATAAATGTAAATGGGAGGGAAGGGAAGAAAAGAAATTGAAGGAGGGGAAGAATGAGGAAGGATAAGACCATTTAACAATTCTGACTGGAGGATACAAGAAGAAAGATGAATCAAGAAGGGATAAGATAATAAAGGACAAAATGTTATTATAATTTGAGAAGATATATGCACACACACACACACGCGCACACACACACACACATACACCCGCATACACACACACACACACACACACACAAACAAACAAACAAACAAATATAAACATACGTACACACACACACACTTTTCAAGAACACAAAAAAATAAGCAAATAAAATAAATATATATACGCCATGATTTTTCCAAACGATTTTCAGTGAAGCGACTCAGCGTATGGTTATCAGGCTTTTTTCTGCGTGTTTTGCCGCCAAGTGTTTATAATATTTTATACGGATATAAGATATAAATGCAAAGTTATGTTACTTAGATAATTGTTGTTGAAATATACAGTTTCCTGCTCGTTTGGCTGCCATGAAGTCAAAATTGGAAGTTAAAATTTCAATTAGTTTAGTCCTCCCTGAGACCTTTAGCTCGAAGCCTCCGTTTTCTGTCACTCCCCTTTGATGCATCGGCGCGAGGCGGAACAAATCAGACAAATAACAGCGAGATAGAGATCGGTTGAGAAAGAAAAAAAAAAGAACAAAAACATAAACGAGAGAGGAAAAAAATCTCTACGTCATTCTGCCTAAAGCTCTGAGCTGAACTTTGTAACTAATGGCTCTGCGAAGTCCATGACAGGGTGGGTGTGGCGGCAGGAATGGCGCTCTTCAACTCGTGCCGGTTTAATGGTTCAGTAATGAGGGTGAACGGCTAATTACTTGTAATGCATACCCATAAGTTTTTGCGCCTTGTGTGTGCTCGTGTGTGCTTGTGTGTGTGTGTGTGTGTGTGTGTGTGTGTGTGTGTGTGTGTGTGTGTGTGTGTGTGTGTGTGTGTGTGTGTGTGTGTGTGTGTGTGTGTGCGTGTGTGTTAACATTTACATTATTTTTCACGTCATTCCTTCCATCAAAGACTGACAGAGATATGAAAAAAATACTCATCACCCTTCCCCCTCTTTCCCTCTTCCAGGAGGTCGTTGTAATGATGCTGCTGTTGCTGGTGGCGGCGACGGTGAGCGCGGCTTCGCTGGAGCCGGCGCTGCCCAAGGCCCACCGCATCGAACCCGTGCCCGTCCATATCTACGGACCCCAGTTCCCCAGCATCTACGGTCCGGCCAGTCAGCGGCGGGACACTCTGGAGCACATTCTCTACGCCTACAGGTGAGCTGCTTGGGAAAGAGATGTATGAATACAAACATACACACACATATATATGTGTGTGTGTGAGTGTGTGTGTAAACGTGTAGACATACACGCACGCAATACTAATAGAGCATTAATAACGAACCTTTCCTCGCAGATTCACTCCGTCCGAAGTCAACATCCGCCATAGGGGTCAGAATCCCATCACGTACCAGGTACCCGTCGCCCAAAAGCCCGAGTTCAACAGGGGAGACATCGAATCCTTCCCGGGTGCGAATCTGGCCACTGCCTTGCCCTACATCCAGGTGAGCGGCCGTCGGGGCTTCGGTTTGCTTCTTGCGGGTTGGGGGGTTTAGGGGGGCGTATAGCTAAGAGGGAGAGAGAGAAAGGGAGAGGGAGAGGAGGAGGGGAAGGAGAGAGAGAGGAAAAGAAGAGGGAGGGAGAGAGAGGGAGAAGAGGAGAGAGAGGAAGGGAGAGGGGGAGAGAGAGGGAGTGGAAGAGGGAGATGGGGAAGAAGAGGGAGAAGAAAAGAGAAGGAGAGGGAGAGGAGGAGGGTGAAGAAGAGGAGGTGGAGGCGAGAGGGGGAAGGGAGAGAAGGGAGAGAGAGGGAGAGGGAGAGAGGAGGGAGAGAAAGGGAGAGAGAGTGGGAGGAGAGGAGTAAGGAAGAGAGAGAGAGAAAGGGAGAGAGAGAGAGAGAGGAGAGAGAGAGAGAGAGTAAGAGAGAGAGAGAGAGAGAGAGAGAGAGAGAGAGAGAGAGAGAGAGATTCAGAGAAAGAAAAATAAAGAGAAAGCGACAGAAGGAGCAAACATCTCCACAAATCCATTCCTCTTACTAATTTTTCTCCTCGATTCCCCTTCTGCAGAGAAACGTGGACGCCTACGAGGAGACGTTCGTCCGAGACGCCGTGGAGCATGTACCCATCGAGGCCGAGCCTTACATGGCCGAGTACGAGGCTGAGGAGGATGCATTCTTCTCCCGAAGCGACGTCGAGTCCTACCCACACTTCCCGTCCGTTTACTCCGGTGGCTTCGAGGACGAGGTGAGGAGGCGCCGCTGCCCGGAATTGTATATATATATATATATATATATATATATATATATATATATATATACAGTCAAAATATGCATACATACGTATATGCACACAGACAGACAAAAATACATACATACACAAGCAGATAAACACATACATAAATAAATAAGAATCCAAAAGAACAAACAAACAAACCAAACAAAAAAAACGAAACAAAAACCGTAAAAAAAGGGTCCTCAAACACCCTCTTTCCCGACAGGCCATGGACGCCTACGTGATCGAGACCCCGAGGGACAAGTACGGCTGGGCAGGCTACAGAGCTGCCGTCGAGTCGCCTCCTCTGAGGACCCCGACGCATGACCCCGAGGAAGCCAGGCCCGTGCAGCCACAGGTAAGGCGTGAGGACACAGTGGATAGATGGGTAGACTGATAGATAGGTGGATCGGTAGATGGATATTGATAGATAGATGGATCGGTAGATGGATATTGATAAATAGATGGATTCGTAGATGGATATTGATAGATAGATGGACTGGTAGATAGATAGATTAATAGATGGGTAAATTGATAGATAGGTAGATTGGTAAATGGGGAGATTGATAGATTGTTGGATAGATATATAGACAAATAGATAGATTAATAGACAGCCAAACATTCAGTTAGGCAGAAAAATAGATGAATAGATATGTACATAAACTCTAATAAATAGAATAAATTAAAACCAAATATAATACACAGAAGGCCTGAACAATGATAAATCACAGAAACAAAAACGGTTAAACATAGAAATAAATAGAAATAAATAATCTTGAAGGACAATAAACACCAACCAAACCCAGCAACCAACCAACCAGCCTTCTTTCCTCCTCGCCGCGCAGCTCAACAGCCGTCCCTTCGGCCCGTGGTCTGAGAACCTCCTCGGAGAAGACATTCCCGACGACGACGTAGTAGAAGTAGGAGGGCCTTCTTCCTCCAAGAACTCGTTCGGTTCCATAGCCGGCGCGGATCTGTGGAAGTACTATAATGATATTAGGAGCAGGAAGTCAGGTATGTGGACGTCGTGTATAGTGGACGGTGTTTAGTGCGCTTTGGGTGTTGACTGATAAGGAAATAATGGGTAATGATGTGAAATAATGTGGAAAAAGGGGGGGTTTTAGTGAGCTATTGTAATCTTTTGAAAGTGTGCGTTTGTGTGTGTGTTTTCTTTATTTATATGTGTGAATGTGTAAGTGTGAGTGTCAGTAAATGAATATATATGCTCACATCTATATATCAATAAACAACTTTTCAAAACTCGCTGCCGTATAGCATGTAATCCAAACATAAGATACTAAACAAAGAAAAAATAAATAAACAGAAAAAAAACAGAACTAGAAAATAATAATAATAATAATAATAATAATAATAATAATAATAACAATAATAATAATAATAATAATAATAATAATAATAACCCTTTGACTCCACAGACTACAAGATGGTGTGTTATTTCGGCGGCTGGTCCGTGTATAGGCCCAAGCCTTTCGACTTTACGGTGACGGACATCGATCCCTTCTCCTGTACCCACGTCATCTACTCCTTCGCAGGACTCAAGGCTAATGAATACACGATCCAAGCCTTAGATGAGGAAACGGACATCGTGAAGGGTAGGAATGGAAGATTTCGGATGATTTTTTTTTTTTTTTTTTGGGGGGGGGGTATTTACAAATCAAAACAAACAAACAAAAAAAAAATACACCCAAAAAAGTCCGTTATTACGCCAAGCTCCTAACTCCACCCACCACCACCTCCCAGGGGCGTACAAGGCAGCGGTCGGCCTGAAGAACAAGAACCCTGCCCTGAAGGTGATGATCGCCATCGGAGGCTGGAACGAAGGAGGCAAGAAGTACTCGGAGATGGCCTCGAGCAAGCAGAGGAGAGAGAAGTTCGTGGCCTCCGTCGTGAGTTTCCTGCAGGAGCACAAGTTCGATGGTCTCGATTTGGATTGGGAGTACCCTGGTAGGTGTCTGTTTTTTTCTTTTTTGGCGGTGTAATTGTTATAGTTATTGTTGGTGTTATTAATATCGTTGCTGTTATTTTGTTGTCTTGTATTCATTATTATTTCATAATAACGTAACGCCTTTTAAAACATACGTATTTAGCAAGTCAGCTGGCAAATATACCCTTCCTATCTTATATCTTGTATTTAGGCTTTGTTATATCTCTTTTTTTTTTTTTTTTTTTTGTACTGAGTCTTTGAGTGTTTGATTGTTTTCTATATATTTTCTGTATCTATATATTCGTAATTAATTCAGTCGATGTCTAAGTCTGTTTAGATTTATGACTTGTTTTCAAATTATCCCAAAATTTTGACGTATCCGGAATTAGGATATGCTTATAAACCTCACCTTGCCAATAATCAATAAATCACCCTCATTTTACCATACAAACAAATCAAAAACAAACAAACAAAAAAAATACACCCAAAAAAGTCCGTTATTACGCCAAGCTCCTAACTCCACCCACCACCACCTCCCAGGGGCGTACAAGGCAGCGGTCGGCCTGAAGAACAAGAACCCTGCCCTGAAGGTGATGATCGCCATCGGAGGCTGGAACGAAGGAGGCAAGAAGTACTCGGAGATGGCCTCGAGCAAGCAGAGGAGAGAGAAGTTCGTGGCCTCCGTCGTGAGTTTCCTGCAGGAGCACAAGTTCGATGGTCTCGATTTGGATTGGGAGTACCCTGGTAGGTGTCTGTTTTTTTTCTTTTTTGGCGGTGTAATTGTTATAGTTATTGTTGGTGTTATTAATATCGTTGCTGTTATTTTGTTGTCTTGTATTCATTATTATTTCATAATAACGTAACGCCTTTTAAAACATACGTATTTAGCAAGTCAGCTGGCAAATATACCCTTCCTATCTTATATCTTGTATTTAGGCTTTGTTATATCTCTAAAGAGCCTTCGACTAAAGTTTCCTCCCCCCCCCCCCTCAGGCGCCAGCGACCGCGGAGGCCGCTGGTCTGACAAGGCTAACTTCGCCGACCTTGTGGAGGAACTCGCAGCAGCTTTCCAACCTTACGGGTGGATCCTGTCTGCCGCCGTGTCTCCCGCTAAGTAAGTCCGTGTCTGTTAACCCTCTTGATCAGCTCATCAAGAATGGTAGTACTAACGATAAAGAGTTTATTTCGTTTTTGTTTTTTTTGTCTAAAATTGTCTCTGTGCAGCATCGGTATATTACATGGAGTGGAATACTCGAATTAAGCCAATCAGTCATCCTAATCTGAGGATCTAATCATTTGAGGAAAGCTACTTACAGCAGCTCGCTCTTTATCCTTGTCTGTCTTCCGTCGTCCCAGGTTCCGCGTAAACGAAGGCTACGACGTGCCTCGCCTGGCCCAGCACCTCGACTTCATCAACATCATGACCTACGACCTCCGAGGACCCTGGGACGGCAAGGCTGACCACCACGCCCCCATCTCTTCCCGCCCATCTGACAGCTGGGCGTACAAGGCCCTGAACACGAAGGACGGCATCGCATACTGGGCCGAGAAGGGCGCCCCGAAGGAGAAGCTCCTGATGGGCATTCCCTTCTACGGCCGCACCTTCACCCTCGCCTCGTCCAGCACTCAGCCCGGGTCACGGGTGGGTACAGAGGGCGTTTGAATGTGCTTCCCATTCTCGACTGTAGTATTTTACGTTCGTGGTTTTCATGCTTTACAGAAGCAGTATATTGAGCCTTAAAAAATATAATACGTAAAGTTTGTATACCTAAAGCCATGTAAACATTCATAACCTTAATGTCTTGTTATTATGCAGGCGAAGTCTGGTGGTAACGAGGGACAGTACACTCAGGAGAGAGGCTTCCTTGCTTATTACGAAGTGTGCCAAGAGATGCGCAATGGCGGCTGGGACATGCAGCAGGACGCAGTGGGAGGACCGTACATGAGCAAGGGAGACCAGTGGATCGGCTGGGACGACGTCGATTATGTCACCAAGAAGGCGAGTCCTTTTCAAGCGCAATATGTATAAATGATAATAAAAAACAATCAATACAGAATCATCTCTTGGGTTGTCATCGATCCTGTCGCCTACGTGTTATAGGCATCCTTTCTGTGCACCATCAGAGGACCGGGCTTTGACGCCGTTCAATTGCAGATGGAGCTGGTGAAGTCCGAGGGCCTGGGCGGCGCCATGATTTGGGCCATCGACCTGGACGACTACCTGGGTGTGTGCGGAGACAAGTGGCCTCTCCTGTCGGCCATGCGTCGTGGTCTCGGTCTGAAGTCCGTACCAACGGACGCCATTCCCGTCACCCCTCCGACAGCACCTCCGACGCCCGCCACCACCAAAGTCACCCCGGCTGCTCCAGCTGTTGAGGAAACGAGTATGATTGCCTTTTTTCCCCTTAAGTGTTGTTTAGTATGCCTCATAATCTTGTTGCTCTGTCGCACTTCTGGCCCGCTATCACTTTACTTTCGTCTTGTCACTTCTGGTAACCAATATAGGATCAAGGTTGATTATAAGTGTCTAACATCTTTGTGTGAATTCATGTGTTTTGTGAAGAATACCGTTGCAAGTGTCACTTCAGTTCACCTCGTTTCTTCCTTCCGCCATTGTCGACGATGTCCACTTGTGAAGTTCCTACATCAGCTTTGGCTTTTTCCCTCTTTTCAAACCCACGTGTTTTGTATATATATTTTTCCTCTTAGAACTTCTCATTGCATGCTTCATTCTTGTTAAAATAGGAGGCAGTGTAAGTTATTTCTTGCCTTTGTGTTTACCAAACATGTGTGGCTGTGCGTATGTATGAGCGTGTGCACGAGTGAGTAACAGTGTGTACGTATGCTCGGAAAAGTCTCTCCCCGGAGGCTTCAGCACCTCGTGTGTATTCCTCCGTGACTAATTTCGAACACACTCCAGCATGCCCTCCGCCCTCCCCTTCTCCCTCACCGTCTCCAACACTCGCACATCACGAAACACATACACGGTCTCCTCTCGGCTTCCCTTAGCCCCCCTAACAGAGCGTTAACCCCGCCAGTGCCAGAACAAAGCGCGACACAAACGCCCTCCGACACCGAGGACATGACAACGTTACCTCCGACCACCCTCACGCCCACGGAAGCGACGCCGGCCCCTAATTTCACCTGTCCAGGTAATCTGCTGTGCTGGTTCATCTCGTATTTATCGAGGAACGTGTAGATAGATATTCCTGATATATTTATTTCCATCACTTATAGCCATCTTACCACATCCAAGACCTTAGCAAACATCAGCAGGTTAGATTAGGCTGCATTCCAAATCCCTCACTTTCTCCTTCATCCCCACGTCCCGCGTAGGACCCGGCTTTTTCCGATCGGCCGAGGACTGCGCCGTGTACTTCCTCTGCGACTCGTCTCTCATGGCCTACAAGTTCGTGTGTCCCGCTGGCCTCGTCTTCGACACCCTTCGACGCTTGTGCAACTGGCCGCGTCACGTCAAGTGCGGGGCAGCCTCTTCACCTCTCAGTGAGTTCGAGTTTCATTTTCTTTTGATTCTGTGCACTGAACTCTGCATCAGTATTTCCCTTGTTTGACCGTATAGTTGACTTTCGCATGTTTCCTAGAAGTAATCACATTTAAATACTGTACCCTTACTGTTGCACTATACTTTGAATCATTGTCACTCCTTTCCTTGAATGTTCTCGTAGCAATGTGTCTTTGTTTTAAGCACTAGATTGATTTCCGCATTCCTTCATATCAAAGTATCCCTCTCCTAGTCTCTCTAAAAATGGTTCAAAATTCCCTTCTGCACCTCTAAAATCTTTCACCTCACAAACTCTTTCCTCCGGGGTGGCCGACAGCAAAGAAAGCCATCAGCTGTAACAAAGATGGTTTGTACAGTGACGAGTACGACTGTCGCATGTTTACGAGGTGTAAGAATGGCGTGGCGTCGAGATATTACTGCCAGCACGGACTTTTCTTCAATCCCAAGACAGGTAATGCAACAAAAAGCCAAGAGCTAATGGGAAACACGAAGACCAAAACACCACAGGGAAAGACCTTGCTAAGAAACATGTAAAAGAGAGAACACAAGTTGTCACTGAAACTTTGGGTTTACACCAAGAAGAAGAAGAACATACGTGCTTCCTTTTCACGATATGAATATACACGGAACTTGAACAGTACAAGGACGAGCGAAATACACACGAAATATACATTGCTCTGTTATTATGCAGGAAATCTACATCCTCGTGTTATCATACAGTGACCATAAAAAAGATCTCCAGTGCAGCCAACAACATTGACCACATGGAAACATGAACGTCTCATCCGTACAGACTCTTATAAATTATCCAATACCAAGAAAATGCCATAATATATGTGATCAAGCTCACACTTGGAGAAGATATACAGTATACAATTCATAAAAACAACAAACGACAAACCCCCAGTGCTTTTGTGTTTGTGAAATAAGGTCTTATAAGAAGATACACGGCCTAGTAGTTTAGAAAATTATTGTGAAAGTGAATATGACTTCCTTCTTCATCTTCTTTTTTCTTCTTCTCCTCCTCTTCCTCCTCCTCCTTCTCCTCCTCTTTTTCCTTCTCCTCCTCTTTTTCCTCCTCCTCCTCTTTTTCCTCCTCCTCCTCTTTTTCCTCCTCCTCCTCTTTTTCCTCCTCTTCCTCTTCTTCCTCCTCCTCCTCCTCTTCTTCGTCCTCCTCCTCCTCCTTCCCCTCCTCCTCCTCCTCCTCCTCCTTCTCCTCTTCCTCCCCCTCTTCCTCCTCCTCTTCCTCCTCCTCATCTTCCTCCTCATCTTCCTCCTCCTTCTCTTCCTCCTCCTCTTCCTCCTCCTCTTCCTCCTCCTCCTCCTCCTCCTCCTCCTCCTCCTCCTCCTCCTCCTCCTCCTCCTCCTCCTCCTCCTCCTCTCCCTCCCCCTCTTCCTCCTCTTCCTCCCCCTCTTCCTCCTCCTCTTCCGCCTCCTCTCCCTCTTTCCACTGACCCATCTAATATCCCCTTTCTCTTCCCCTTCAGGAGTGTGCACAGAACCCGACCAGAAGTTCTGTCTGCCTGGACAATCCGTCATGATTGAAGCTTCTGACAAGACTGAGATAACGCTTAAGATGGCTCAGAGGGCAGGTGAGTCTCGTGAAATCTAAAATAAAAAAGAAAGAAAAGAAAAGAAAAAATACATATCACTTTAAGCTCATTTTAGTAATTATGAAAGATATCTATTTTTTATCACTTCTTTATTGGTTTCGTATTATTTATAAAGTTCATTACCCACATCGCGATCTAATTTGTATCAACTATTTCGTCATTTTGCATCATTTATAAAGTTCGCCTGACCCCTATATTTGTATTATTTTCCATTTTGTGTTATGTATGACGTTCATCACCCACCTTACGCCCACCTCGCGATCTTTCCAGGCGCAGAAAAGAGAGTAGTGTGTTATTTCACCAGCTGGGCCTACTATAGACCCTCTCCCCACAATTTCGCCCCTGAATATGTGGACCCAACTCTCTGCACCCACATCATATACGCGTACGCTATGTTGGACGGCTCCGAACTCATCATGAAGTCGCTCGATCCTTATCTGGACTTCGATTATAGTGAGTATAGTGATCCTCTGAGGAATGTTTGTGATGGTGATGGACGAAAGCTTGGGTAGGTAAGTGTTATCTAAAGTCAGTGATGCGTTTGGGATATCTTGTTCTCTTTTGGTATATGAATAAAAGGGTAGAATAGAATAGGTATGTAGTATATTTGCATATGCTTTTATACATGTTGATAAGAACAGTAATGGCAAAAATAAATGATGATAATGTAACTACTAACCGTGATAGAAAAAAATAGATGAGTATGTACATTCACCTAACATTACCAAATAAAGCATTAGCATTACTGTCAGTGTAATTAGTGTAATCATAATCATTGTTATTATCATTCGTTGTAGCAGTAGTATCATCATTATCGTCACCATTATCATTATTATGTTCAACATCATTATTGCCAGTATCATTAACATAGTTTATTTCTATTACTATCATCATCATAATCCTTACTACTACTAACACCACCAATCTCTTCGCCAGACTTCTACCAGCGCATCCTAGGCCTGAAGAGAGAGGCGCCGAACTTGAAAGTGATGCTGGCGCTGGGGGGGTGGGTGGACTCCGCCGGTGACAAGTACTCTCGCCTTGTGAACAACCCGAAGGCCAGAGCGAAGTAAGTCCTTAGAGACGTGCGTTAGAAGTAAAAACTAATGTATCAATAGATGGTACAAGTAAAAACTAATCTATGAATATTATTTTTTTTTTCTAGATAATAATTACACAGATTCTAAAAAAAAAGATATATAAGCAGAAAAAAATAAAAGAAAATGAAAATAAGAATAGAGAAAACAAACAGATAAACAGTAAAAAATACGAAAAATAAATCTCCATGTATCTTTCCTCTCCAGGTTCGTCGAACACACAACGGCTGTTCTAGAAGCATATCGTTTCGACGGACTGGACTTCGGCTGGATGTACCCGCGCTGCTGGCAAATGGACTGCTCCAAGGGCCCTACCTCAGATGTCTCGGGCTTTTCTAGTCTTATAAAGGTAATTTGTGTTTATTTGTTGTTGTTTTTGTCCCTTTCTGCGACTCTTTCCCTTTCATTTTATCTTTATTTAGTTATTTTCTATTAATGTGAATATTTGTTAATTTCTCCGTATACGAAGATATCTTGCAGGATATCACGTGCAATATATTCTATATAAATATACAGCTTCATCTCCCTCCTCCCATCCCTTCAGGAACTGAAAATGGCCTTCGAGCGAGTCTCCCCGCCGTTCCTGCTCTCCGCCGCCGTCTCGCCCGCCCGCAACACGATCGACAGGTCCTACGACGTCCCGACGCTCTCTCGCTACCTGGATTTCATCAACGTCATGACGTACGACTTCCACGGCGCTTGGGAGAAGGAGACTGGGCACGTCTCGCCCCTCAAGTTCAGGGACGGCGATAGGTGAGTTGGGGCGCGGCTCGACGACATTGCAAAGGCCGATGCTTTCTGGTATTTTCTCTGCCATAATATGTTCCTGTGATAAATAACATTGCGTTATTGCAATTATCAAAATTCTTATTATTGGTAGTTTTAATATCACTATTGATGTTGATATTAGTATTAGTATTAGTATTAGCATCTAGTATTCTATGAGTACTAGTCTTAGCATTAGTATCAATATACGTAATAGTATGAGTATTCTATTAGTATCAGTATTAGTATAGTCATTATTATCAATATTACAACGGCAACACCACCATGGTCACCGACACCGTCATAACGTAATGCATCTGTCACTAAAGGTACGCTTCTCAAAACACGGATTACGCCATGAAGCATTGGGTCCAGAGGGGCGCCGACCCTTCGAAGCTGGTGATGGGCATCCCCTTCTACGGCCAGACCTTTACCCTGGCCAACCCGCTACAGAACGGCCTCCGCGCGCCGGTGTCCAGGAACGGGGACGAGGGATCGGTCACCCACCAGAGGGGCATGATGGCCTACTTTGAGATTTGTAAGATTGGTAAGTACGACACAAAAGCGAGTGGTATGGCGTCATCTGCTCCGTTTTGTTTTGTTTTGTTTTTTGTCAACGGGAAATAAAGTATTGCTGCTAAACGTACAATGC